TTCACACAACGTCGCTGTACTCCGGCTTCGGGTAACTCAGCGACGTTTCAACATTTTTCGACTTTCAGAGGCATGTCACGCACTCATATGATGTTCAGGTGGCTTCTTTGAATGCAGAGGTCCTGCCTGCGAGTAGGATGGATGAACTACTTTCGTAGCTTAAAAATACAGGTGAGGACAGAGCTACCCGCCTATAGCGGCACCACAGTCCCAGGTAATGGCCACGGCAACGCCCAACTTTTCATTTCTAACTGCTACCTGATGGCGCGGTTGTTTGGCTATTAACTATCTCCATTACGAATGGTGACAATGAGGTGATAAGGAGGAAGAGCTAGCACCAATCAGTGAAAACTCGGCCAACCACGCCCTTTCTTCGCCTCATGCATGTACAAATCCGGTTCAACATGGGGCTTCTCCATCGGGTTTTTAGGGCTTTTTTTCTTCCTCTTATGCTGCTTACCAGGTGCTCAGGATCTGCACCGCACAAATCCGCATTTTCAACGCTGGGCGTGCCTTTGATCAATAGTTTCGTTTGCGTTATTCAATTTTGTATTAGATAGTTGTCTTTAGCATCCGAAGAGTGTTTTGAAAATCTTAGATGCAAAAAATAAGTACATCATATCGCGCTTATCATGTTGCAGTGGGATACGGGTGTGACTGCGTATGTGTGTCACGCCAAGAAACTGTAAAAAGGCCAAGAGGAAATGATGAGAGAGCACACAGAGCACCAGGATTACATCTGAATATTGCAATGAAGTTGAAAGTCAGAAAGCTGACTTTTATGGGTGGAGTCTAACCTACACGGCAGACTACTAGGGGCCTTGTTGCTCACGTTCGTGCAAAAGTGGTACATCTTCCGCAATCGCGTACGGAACTAGCTAGTAGAGAGAATGAATTCGGAGCACCAAACAAACGCGCACTGTCTTCGAAAAAGCAAAAAAAAGCCTGTGGGACGAATTTCACAATACTTATGTGTCATCGCTATCTTCTTGGAATACTGATGAGCGCCATTAAAGGCAGCGTCCGCGATCAACCAAAGTGAAAAAAACCCTCCATTCCATTGGTAAAACGAACGCGGAGTTCGCAATCACAGCAGAAATCCCACTCTTGCGGCTCGAAATCGATTGGTTGACGAGGGCGGAGTCAACAGAGCCGGGCTGACGCCTCCTGTCCTGTTAATCCCGCCCCGACTGGTTGACAGTTATCAATGCTTGCTGGCATTGATATACGCTGAATTTCTAGAGTTCCGAGGCGGCGACGTGTATTGGAGAACTCACCAGAAGTTTGCGAAACTCGTCCACATGCCTTAAATTTCATAGGGTCTTATTTCACGCTCTTCCACACCTTTTTCCTGCTTTTTTTGATTAGTGCTTCATTGGCCACCTGTTCTAGCAAATGTGACCCCTGAAACCTGCCAAAGTCCATCGCGGGCGCTGTCTTTAAGCTCAGAACGTGCAAAACGCGTTAGAGAACCCCTCGTCAAACCGCTATTGTTTCGGGATGCAAAAATATAAACGGCTCAACTAAAGACATAAGATAAAGCTAAAGCGTAAAGAAGTGAAGCTTAATATTTGTCACTCACAACTGGAACCTCCTTCTGATGCTCTAAGACGACGAGCCGAATGTCCTGAGGAACAACCAGTGGTATACTCTCTGCTTGTTTTACAGCCAGAGGGAGGCTTATACGAAGGCTGCTGTCATTGTTGATCAGCTAAAAAGTCACAATAGACAAGTTCTTATGCATTCAACGTGAATAAATCCGTTACAATCGAATAACAGCGGAGCGGGGCAGGAATGCCGCCAGCGAACAATGAAGAACGACAAGAGGTGAGAGCAATCCTTTGAGAAAGAAAGGCAATACGATGAAACCAAAAAAGGATAATTTTTCTCACTTACCTCCCAACAACGTCGTATAACTCCAGCTTGCAAATACGATGAATCCTTCGGAATGTACAATCGAAGGATGGGTCGTAGCAAAGCAGGTTTCTCGAATATCACTTCTACCTCCTGACCCTCTCCACCTTAATTAATGAATATAAGTTGTAGTTAGCAAAATCCTGAAATCTGATCTGGAACCTTAGACTAGACTCGTAAAAATGAGTTCATACTTTGCGTCAGTGTTTTTAGCGTCAGCGCTTTGAGCTGCTGCGTTCTGAGCGTACAGCAACGCTTGCAGCGTCCGCCAGCGTTCTGAACCTTTCGAGGGCTAGCTGAGCGTCCACCAGCTCTGAGGGTCTACCAGCTTTTCAGCAATAATCGATACCTGTCCTTTTTCAGTCAAGCACAGTGGCCAATGCTCAAAAGGCTAGACCAGTATTTATACTTTCATGGTGCTCAAAACGCTGTCGGACGCTGAAAACGCTGGTGGACGCTCAAAAGGTAGTCGCTCAAAACGCTCAAAACGTTGGCAGACTACTCAGAATGTAGCCGAAGGTATGAAGGCACTCCAAAGCATCAACTATCAAAATTCCAGTGTCAACGCTTTGCCGGTGAATAGTGACTTTTCAGCTACAAGATGTATGCTTCCTTCAAAAAAACCGAGTGTTACGTTTATTTATGTTTTTTTTTCAATAATCAAGGTCTACTTGCCAGCAACGATAAAAACCAGATTTACATGGGAAAAAGACCCATTAAACCGGCAAAGAGAAAAGGGTAATATCATACAGTATTTGGCGCTAAGGAATTTGTTAGAGCTTGAAGGCAGTGCGCACGACTGCTAGGGGCGGGCGGTAGTCCAATGTCATTGGTGGAAAGGGCGAGTGGGCGTGGGCCCAACGCCTTCCCACAGCCCTTTCTCCAGTGACGGTGGCGCAACAACCGCCCGCCCCTAGCAATCCTGCACACTGCTTTTGAAACCCTCAGTGTTGAATAATACCTGTCTGGGACGTCCATTCGAAACCACAGCAGCTTTCAAAGCGATTTTAGCTCTTCAGTGTTTACGAAGTTACTGGCTCCAAAGGGGATGGAACTCAGTGGGTCTGCGTGGGATCTAATGCGGAATCTGTACGCGGATCACGAGCGGATAAACGGCAGCACTAAACAATCACCAGTTCCGCCCGCAGAACAAAGTTTAAAGTGAAGATGGTGGTCGGTAGGTCCACAATGGAACCTAGGCATGTAATGATTGTTTCCGCACTGCAACCATGGCAACGTGTAAGTGTTATCATCTTTAAAACAACTGTGCAGATAGCGAAGTGTTCAGTGCCACCTCAATCAGGTAACCTCGGTTCACAACCGATACGGGGACGCCTTTTCCATGGGTTGGAAGTGCACAGAAAGCGGGTTGCACGCTACAGGTCAGGCCCATGAAGGACTAAGTTGCCCGCGTCCCCGCCGTGACAATGTCATTGTAACCTCCTAGACTTCTGTTTTCTGGTCTCCCTCACGCACTCTTTCGCGTATAGCCGCCTTCCGCGTCTTGCAATTGATATCGGCCACTCATGCTCGTTCAGTAATCACAACCTACTGCAAGGAAAAGGGCCTTAAAAGCCGGTCACTTTCTCTTTCCTTCCTCATCTGCAAGTCAGCTAGCATCGACATTTTTCCCTTTACACCCCACTATGAACTGCAACTGCAGAATCTGCATTCAAAAAGATGATTATGAAAAATGGGAATGGAGATGGACTCCGTAATGGCCTAAGAAAAAAAAAGATGGAACGCCATGCATCCGAGAACAACGGCGGTGTAAAAGCGCTTTACAAAGGCGATTAACACTGCTCACACACTTCATACCGTGCCGCGACGAGTCATTAAATTTCCATCAGTATTGCACGTACTCAATGGATATGCACATTTTGAAAGCAATAAGGAACATAAGCGAAGTATAGGTAGCATAAAAATAAGTGTTTAAGAATTTTCATTCAATCAAAGTCCCTTTTTTAAGTTCTGAAGGAGTAAATGTGGATTAAAGTGATTTCTAGTTGATGAAATCTTCAGTTTTTAGCGGTACTACTTGTTGAAATTATGAAGTATATGATTCGATACTGTGCTCTCCCAGACTGCATCGCAATGAGGGAGGTTTTTATAGACAGTCACGCGCTAAAAACTCGTAGGCGGCCTTCCTTGTACAAGTCACTCTGGACGGTGAAGGAGTTTGTAGGAAAAAAAACTCCCGGGAAACGTTAGGAAATCGGGAGAATTTAGGGAGCTGGTAGGTAGGATGGGGATGGGCAAGGGGGTACCAGAGCAGGAAATTTCAAGGGGACGTCGAGTTTCGCATACCCCCCCCCCTTCCCCACAATAGCAGGAGCTGCCTGATTAGGACCTTTATCATTCCCCGACTTCTGTTATCGAAGTCACTCTTGACAGTGAAAATTTCAGGGTCCCGTGCCCAGGGTGTACGTCTCAAGCGCTCTCATAAGCTCAAGCGCTTTATGTTGCATCTTTATGTGATAATTGAACGTTATCCTATAAAAACAATCTCATGACTGGAGTGCCTTGACTAATATCGAACACTTTTTAGGCAAAAAAAAAATTAAAAAACAGAAAAAAAACCCAGACATGGATCGATCATTATGTTTGAGCTATGAATGACGTTTTTAGTTAATGACACGCAGACACTGCAACAAGTACTGGTCGTAAAAGTGACGAGTGGAATGTTCACGTCAGTGCTCATGCCAGAGATAGCAAGTGCAAAAGAGACGACCATAAAGGACTGGCTGCACTTGTTAGTGAGGGGATCAAACTCATGGCGGTGCAAGAGCAACTCCGATTGCTTTACCACTACGTAATATGCGCAATCCTGTGACCAAAAGAATAAGTTTCAAAACTGTGTACATCGTTTCAGCCCAGTCGTCGCACTGGTGGGTGTCGCGTGCGACGTCGCGCCCGCGAGTGACGATGTTTCTGGGTCGTGCTGCCGTGCTGGCGGCAATGGACACTGTATGACCAAAGTAACCATAAATGTCACATGAAGTTCAGTGCTAAAATCGACAGGCTGCAAGTTAAGGAAACGCCGCGTTCATCGCCGCACGCGACGAGCGGCAAGTCACGGTAGTGCTGACCGTCTCCCCACTCATGCACACATAAGTTCGCCAACTGAACAACTGAAGGAAATAACGAACCTTTCATCTTCTCAACCTTCGCAACCACACCAGTAGCAACGGAATGATTGTGTAGCGAACAGCGTGCCTCCGTGACGGATTTTTCCAACTTTGCACTGCCAGTATGTGAGGGTTCCGAGTGAAGAGACCACATCAGATCCAGACTGTAATGTTAAATGTAGGAAAATGATAGATGTGGGGAAATCATTACCATACCTCCGATAAGTGACTATCAGAGAGGGATGTCGCAGGGTCATGAAATGCACGATTCGATCGAGATGACCAATTCGCGAATCAACGGCTTTCACAACATGACGTGTCCATTCACCATGTTCCAACAATGCGTCCAAGTACTGAAAAAGAAAGTTGTTGCGGTCACTTCTATATCAGACCAAAGGAAGTATTAAGGCCAGTGAAAAATGGAACAGTCGAAGTGACAAAAAAAACTAGAAATACAGCATCTGCCGCTAAACATTAAAACAATACTGAGGTCACCTTGAGCAGACGACAGCGCCCAATTACTATAATCCAGCAGTAAAGTGGGAGCGATGTCTCGTCATAGACCCAAGGCAGGTCAGTCACTTTGGGTGGTCCTGCCACTTGAAGAGACGCCCCGGGTTACAAAATAACGAACTGTGCCACTCAAATTCGCTTGACAGAGTAGCAAGTGGTCCAGCAATGAAGAAAAGCATAAAATACTCGCCGGAAATATGCTGTAGAACTCACGCTGAATCGCGCTTGTATTTGCATAAGACGAACAGTGGGCGTGGTCGGACGAGTTCTCACCTGTTGGTGCCAGAACTTTCCTTTATCAGTCCACTCTAATCATTCAAATGGAGAGTTAGGAGACCGCACACTGATAAAAATGAAAGTGGGGCGTTGCCGGGGCTCGCGCCGGCCGTGCTTTCCTCACGTACTTCGAGCTGCGAAATTAGTACATTCTCCATTTTTGCAGGGAGAGCTACCATATCTGGGGAACGCGCTGGAACATCGAATGAAAGCGGAGCGTGCCTCTGAGGTTCACGACTTGGCACCACTTCCACACCTCAGCGCATTTCTTGCATCTAAGACAATGGTAAGGGTCTTTAACTGGTTAAATTGGACTTCCACCAATTCTGATAATTTCGTTGGCAATCATTCATTGGCAAGAGTTAATGAATGTACTCAATGCTGTAATGACTGTATAACTTCGAGTTTACAAAATTTAACCTAATGGCAGACTTACTGGCGCCCGCTCGAGGAACTCGATGATCAACGGGAGCACAGGTGATACAGATGAATAGCCTTATTCTACGTTTCGGCGTCTTTGCCTTCGTCAGAGCGTGGAACGGACAAAAAAAAATTTTGAGACTTCCCTTCCAAACACTTCAGCGTTCCCGAAGACAATTTCACTCAACCAGCAAAACGCTGAACGGCCTAGACGGTGGCTCACCTTGATCTCAGCCGCCGCGATTCGGGGCCGACCACCTTGAGGTTGACTTGAACGTGGAATAATTATGACCAGTCACCCTTCAACTTCACGATAGTCGAAACCTATGGAGGTTGAAAAGATGCACGTTCGCGGGTTACATCCAGGACAAGGGAAACCGACATTTCAACTTTTAAGGAACATCATACTCGACCTGCAGTTGCAAACAACAGTTAACCACTAACTGGCTTCTACTCCTGCTAACTGCTTTACCGCTGATAGAAGTCGGTAGGGGTACTCATTAAATTTCCATTCGATGAAATTCACGACGAGCACAAAACCCGGCACAGTCCATCCAGTTCTCCGCCCTTCAAGACTACAATTTTCGCTGTGGTTCAGGGAAACGCACACCGATTTCTAACGAAAGCGTACCTTTACGCATTTGGACGCCTTTTCTTTGCACCTCGCTGTCGACAGGTGGTCGCAATCTAATTGAGCGCTTTTTCCAACGGTTCCATATGCCTGCGTGGACCAGCAAGCGCAGTAAAAACGTTATGAATGGCCCGCAGCGTTGGATCTTTGCACTGTTGAAGGTCTTCAGCGCAATCCAGACTTCGCTGGTGATCGCGTACTTGCGCCTAATTACATTGTGGTAATCCTTTGCAAGTAAATTTAATTATGCGCAGCCTGACGATGACCGCTCGAGCATACGAAGCAGTACTAACATCGCCGCACTCTTCTCCTTGTGAGCCCACACCAGAAATGGATGGGGATATCACCGCTAACAAATCTTTTCCATTGAATGAATCGGAGGCAATGTCTATTAATCCACACCTACTTATTTAACAGAAGAAAGGGTGCGTTCATACTTTGCGGCAACTTTTATAGCATCTGCAGGTGTTTCAAGCTTTTTTAAGCGTTCTGAGCGACTGCGAAAGTATAGATATCGATTCAGAGCTTTGAGCGTTCACCAGCTTTTTAAGCGTAAGCGTTTTGAGCGTTTTCGCGACTAAGAATGCATAGGAATGATGCCCGCGGAAAAAGCTGACGGACGCTCAAAACGCTGGATCGATACCTATACTTTCCTAGTCGCTGAAAACGCTGGCGCAAAGTATGAAGGCACTTTAAGAACTAATTCACAATAATCGTTGTTTCGCATGTTGAAAACCCATATCGAACTAACCTTCAGAGCATCCCTCAACGCGGCAGATGTGATCGATTGATCCGCACGACTCAGCTCCACAAGTGATGGGTGGAAACGAACCTGCAGTTATGAAGAGCATTATAAATGCTACAGAAAATTCCAGTCTTGAGATTAGATGTGTACCCAACAGGGTCAGGCGTTTGCCAATGATTTTTCCTCGAGTATTTAATGATTAATGAGTATTTAATGATTAATCTGGAAAAGACTCACTACTACCTCTCATTTTTCTATCACCAAGTCACGCCAAAGCACACGTATGAATAACTTTTCTCACTTGAGCAATGTTTTAAGATAAAACTCCCCTCACGTCCGGCCAGCCACGCTAAACTCTTATAAACATTGCTCACGTCCCCAGCAAACCGCGCCTATCGTGGTCAAACGCGCTGCTTGTCAGCATCCTCTCACTTCTGATTGCTCTCTACCACTGAGTGCGTGTTTCGTTGCGGGACCTTGGTAGGCGCGTATGAGCTGCACCGTGAAGAGAGCGTGGGTGGAGTATGGGAGCCGATGCCGCTCGTCATCACTATCCACTTCAGTCGGCGATTTTCCGCGCATATTTGAAGTGAGGGAAGACAATGCAACGGTGGATCATGAAAAACGAATCGTCGATTAGAAGGGTGAGTGAAAGGCAGCTTGTCTCAAAAAGCAAATTTTGATGCTTCAGGAAATTGAACCGATTGACACACCGGTACTTTTCGAAGAAACCCTACTGATCTATTTGCTAAGCTGCAGTACAACCACTGTACTACGTTTGTGCAGCATGTACTCCCGCAAGTCGTTGTATAGGCCGGATTAACATTCGAAGTATTTCCGATTGTGGTGAGTCTAATCAATGGCACGAAACAAAAATGGATTGAATATTTATCCTTTTTTTGCTAAGCCCAAGAAAATATCACGATGGGGCACATTTGCGGGCTAGATTCCGTAGATCCTAAATCTATTCGTTTTAAATGCTGACGCAGTTCAAGAGCGATTAGGGATATGCCACTTACTGCGCTATTCCCTTTCCCACGACCCGCTATCCCCACTCCTCAATTTGCTTCCCCATTACCCACTGATTTCATGCTATTTTCTCATCGAGGAGAATTGGAGTGGAAGGTTCTCTAGGGCAATGAACATGAGAATAGACCGCTGGACCAATACGATCAACGACATGGGATGTCAAGCAGTAGCACGATCAAGCGCGGTAAGCTTTCTTTCACACTTATTAAACGAGATGAACTAACTTCTATACGCGCCTCGAGCACAGAAATCTACTGGGTAATTTACCTCGTTGCAGTTAGGTCCAAAGCGCCTGGTGCAGCGATACTCATTTTCTTCAATAATATGACCTCGGGCTGTTCCTTCCACTTATACAACATGAGTGTTGAGCTAGAAAGGAGAGGGAACGATACAGTTTCGATCCAACTGTCAGAAACGCAGTCACAAACAGGACGTATGGGCAGAGGTATAAGAGTCTCCAGCGCGGGGATAGTGCTTACTTCGAGAGAAATTATTTTCGGTTGCCTCGACTTACCTGCTTCTGGAATTAAGCTTGACAATTTTCAGAAACAGAGGAAATTATGGAAGTCAATCCGAGACTGAATGGGTAGGATGAGAGAAGAAGCGGGCGAGTATCAGAGTAGCAAATTTCAAAAGGTAGTCGCATTTGCAAATCTTGCCCAACAGACACACACTTGTCCTATGTTAGACACCACGACTAAAAGGGCAGCAACCAGTCACGCCCTTCCTCCCCGTCGATGATTCCTCGACGTCCACTGGCAGCGGGAACGGTCTGGAAAAGGCAGGTGACACAAATAAAGAATAAGTGAGGAATGGAAAAGAGGATTATTGCAACCGTTGACACAACTGATAACTAGTGAATTTGCGACTCCTATTGACTTGGCAAACGCCTGGCACTGTGTTTCCATTTTCAAAATGCAGAATACAACAATAAAACGTAAAATACCCTCGCTTTGGCTCTCCAACGCTTCTAACGAAATAATGCACCTTCACAGATTTCGCCTTCTTGCTGTCCAGTCCCACTACATCACATGGAACTGCCCAACCAATGCCTGGTACACGCCGAGGTTCTCCGATCAGTTGATCAAAGTCCACAGCAACCGGCATAATGCGATTACGGATTTTCCTGCAAAATAATTCGATTATTCTCGTGGAACGAGACCCGGATAACGCATTATACTCAAGATGAGGAGAAGGAAGGGATTCACTCAACAACACCACTGTGCTCTTGGAGATGTTTTCTTCAACACATCTGGTCAAATGCTTTATTGTTAGACTCAGTGGGGATTATATCTTCTCTGGAGACCATCGCCCATGCGTTCATACTTTGCGTTAGCGTTCTGATGACCAGGGAGGTATAGATACCGTTCTAGCGCTTTGAGAGAACGCCAGCGTTTCCAGCGACTGCCCACAAAAAGTTCAAGACAGCCCGCGAAACGCTCAAAACTCTGCCGTGCGCTCGAAACGCTAGACCTACACCTATACTTTTCTAATCGCTCGAAACGCTGACGCAAAGTATGTACGCAGCCTTGAGAGAAGAAACAAAGACGCGCGACCAAATGGTCCCCCACGTATGTCCGCGTCCGAATGTCTATTCACAACGGTCCCTTGTGTGCCTTTCCGTAACCTTTGCAATGTTTACTGATAGACGCGTTCCGAACTGAGAGGGCAGAGAGAGCGAAGAGTCACGGAAGGGAACGTGGTGGCGACGAAGCGGACGTAGATGGTGGGCAAACTTTCGACGTGCGAAAAAAAACAATGAAGCACTCTGGCGAGAGCTAACCTCATTGTCAAAGATATTTCCCCACGATCGGATAGGAATCGTTTGCAACTAAAAAAGCCAAACCCCTACAAGAAAATGGAGATATTATCGTGGTACCATAAGATTGAAGAGAAAAAGATTGTTGGCGCAATTGGGGCATGTCGCACTTTTGCCGCTTCACTAGTTCCAGCTTACATGTTTTACTCCGGTAGACCTGTGAATTCTTGTGAAGCTAGAGCAAACTCATCCAATCGGGCATGTGACAGGGC